GGAATCTTTGCAGACAGCAGGAGTCTTTGGGAATAAAACCATAGACACTTTTGCACTGATATAGGCCTACTGGAGCTTAAATTGGTAAGGTTATTTTGAAGGAGAAAATAAATAGTATTTAAGCCTTCACATAGTGAACAAACACCAAATTAATTCAGGCCGCCAGTTCTTGAAATATTGTCCTCCTACCTGTAGCACCTTGATGGAGGTACTAGAAAATGCTTATGATTTGATTACCAATTGCCATTGTGCTTACTGACTTACAGAGGATGCGAGAAGGTTAGTTTACAGATCTACATTAAAAGTGCTTTCTGCATCTAGGTCTCTTCTCAGCTATCTTCAGAGGCACCAGTAGAAGCCCAAGCTATTAAACCTTCTCCTGCTGTTATTATAAAGCCTCCCGTGTTGTTCAGACAGCCCACCCCTGTGACAAGACCAAGTGCCCCACTGACAAGGCCTGCTACACCTATGACAAGGCCACATGCTCCAGTTTCTACTCCAACTACAACCCCAAGTCATGGTCAGTCTTTAAAACCATCACCTTCTGCTGTGGAACAGGAACGCTGGGATGAGGATTCTTTCCACGGACTCTGGGACACAAATGAGGATAAAGGAGCAAATATGGAGTATGAGTTGTGTAAACAGGAGTCAATGATGCCTCCACCCGTCTCCTCGCCTGTGAAAGTACCTGCCGTTCACACCTCTGTTCCGTCAGCTGTACAAGTGTCCCTTCCTCCAGTTATTCCACCGGTTCCTAAAGCACCTGTAATTCAGCAAACTGTGGATTATGGCCACGGGCGAGGTGGGTATTACAGTGTATTTGTCTGATCTGTAACGGAGAGCTAATGAGTCCTAGCTTCTTTCTAAAGGAGTGTGCCATGCAAAGCATGCTGTAGGTGTTCTGCAGCTGACCTGTAGGCTGCGTACATTGTGATCTAATGCTAAGCAATGCAGTTTTAAGGAGTCTGTAACCTCCAGCCTTGAGTTTAATGTTTTCTTCAGTGCTGTGATAATGAGCTATTTCACGTGAACTGAACAGTGTGTAGCCGCATCTGTTTCTGAGGACCACCAACTGATGTGTGATCACACATCAATGTTTTATATTTAGGTTGATATTGATACTTCCCCTTAATCCCTTTGTAGCTGAATATGGAAATAACTGTGCTAGAAAGTACTTTGGATTGTTACAGTTCTTAGGTGTGACTTAGTAACTTAAAGCAGAATATGACTGGAGTTTGCATTATTTATATACAGTTTAATGGGTGTGAGGTGCCCTCTAGACAAGGAGGGAGTTCTAGTTCTGAAGGGCATGCGCCCTAAACAGGCACTTAACACATAAACAGTGAAGGGCTCTGATTTTTAGTATTGACCTTACCAAAGCTAAAATTCAACACTAGTTTTTTAATAGAATTAATTTCCCTCATTCTTAGTTTTTAACAGGAGTGAAATCATGTCATAAAGAAGTTCTTAAATTGTGAATTGTCGTTTAAAGAGCATTTTTTCTCTCTCTAAGGGGCCATAACATGAATTGAAGCCATATCGATTCCGTTAAGTAGTGTTTACTAAAAGCTGTTAGAAAAATTGTCACTGTTAGGAATCTAAAGTGAACGTTTCAGTTAATATTCTTGACATTACAGCAGCTCTATGAGTTATTGAAACTTTCAGAGCATTTTAATGTTTATAATCTGACCGTGCATGCTACCTGAACTCATCTAAAAAGGCAGAAGTCCCGTTCTTAAGATAAAGTGGTATGTGTACTTATACACACACACACACAAACCCGCTTCAGACTTTCAAAACCATGGTGTAGTGTATTTATGTATAGCCCTTTTTGCATTATCCATTAAAAGAAATTTTGGTAAGTTATTCCAGTCACTTTTAATGCCATTGACTCATTGCTTTTTGTGACAGAGGAAGGGAAATGGAAGAGGGGTGTTTTAAGACCTTGATTATTTTTTTATTATTTTTAACCAGATATAACCACCAGTAAAGTGGAACAGATTCCATATGGGGAGAGGGTAACCCTGCGTCCAGAACCTCTACCGGAGAGGCAAACATTTCAAAAAGGTAGGGAGTACTTGGCAAGCTCTCAGACAGTTAGTTAGCTCTTAAGAAAAGTTGTAAGGCACTAAAAGCATATTTTAAACTTAGGAACTCTTGTTTAAGCTAGAACCACTTTATTTTCTTCAGAGGCCCATAAGAATAACGGTTTATATTGTCAAGAGGAGTAATGCAGTCAATGACCTAACCACTTTAAAAATTCAGTTTTGTAGCTTTAAGTAGGATTTCATGGTATGGTTGTCTTACAGTTTGGAAAAGAGATTCAGTGGCTGATAAGTCCATTCTAGCCCTCACATCATATGTTTCTATATACTTTTCTTGTACTCTTGTTTGTTGTTTTTCCTTCAAAAATAATAAAAAATTCAGAGTATGTTTTAGTACTTTGGATTTCCATGGGTTTCTCCTTTCAGAGCACCCTGGTCGTTACAACAGAGAAAGAGATCGTGAGCCTTATTTTGAGCGTCAAGGTAATTCTAACACAGATCATCGGGATTTCAAGAGAGAGCGGGAATTGCACAGAGACCGTGGTTCTGTGGACTATGAACGAGAGAGATTTGAAAAAGAGCGGCATCCCCGAGATGATAGGTATGTGGTTTTGGAACGCTATTGAAATCAATACAATTCATGCTGTATTGGGTATCAGGCTGTCCATTTTGCCTGTGAGGTACGTGTTCATTTCTCTCTGGAATCTATAGTAGAAATTCTAGAAATACGCAAAATACTCTTTTGGCAGGGTTCTTCCTACTACACCTTCAAGGACTCAGTCTTACCGTGACAAGAAAGACCATCCTTCCTCCAGGCGGGGTGGTTTTGAAAGACCACCATATGAACGAAAGACAGATCGTCCAGCGTATGATCATGGGCCTTCCATGTTTGGAGGTACAGTTGCTCAATCTTGAAGCCATGCTAGAATATTATGAAAAATATGGACTCCCAGAGGTCAAGATTAATTGGGAGAAGATGAATTGATTTGCAGTATTTCTTTGTTCAGAATATATAATTCAGAAAAATCTATTTGGTTGTGTCACATAGTTTTGTTTCTCAGTGGTGATGAGATCAGGAACACAACAGTTATGCTCTGCTAAAAAATGTCTTTGCAATAGGTTCAAGATTAGAAATTTGAATTATTTTGGGGACAAATCCATTAATTTATCCTAAAATAATGAAGGTCTGTTTAAATCAGCTCAGCTGGGTATGAACATCTTAATTTTTTTATTTTACTGAACTAAGAAAATTCTTCTGTCCAAACACTGGAATTTGAAGGTGATCGTAGAAATTACCCTGAGGAAAGGATTCCTATTTCTGCTCCGTCAATGCCCCGTCAACCACCACCTGCTCCACGAGTGGAAAGGAAGCCAGAATCTAAAAATGTAGATGATATTTTGAAGCCACCAGGACGGGATAGCAGGCCAGAGAGGGTGAGTATGCATTGTGAAAGCAACAGTTGGCTTCTTCAAGGTCTGTATTCAGATAAAATGCTCAAGAGTGTATTATGTTGGGAACAAGCCTACATTTGAGGAAGCTCTGGAAATTCTCTTGGTTCTTTTGCAAATGCCTAGAGTGTTGTAGCACAACTCCTAGCTATTAGGAGTTGACAGGAGATGTAAACTTCCTGGGAATGCTAAAATGAAATTCCTGTTAGTGGGTAATGTTGAAGTATTTTAGACTCTTCTGAGATCTTCACTTGGGTTTTTCGTGTATCAGAGGAAAGACTTGGCTTTACGCAGAGTCAGAGATTTGGCAATGCACCATATAAAATAAGAAAGAACAAGATTCAGGCTCGAAAACATTTAGACAAGTTTAATTCAGATAAAATTATCTGAACCATATCTATAACATCTTACGCAGTATGAGCTGGTGAGATGATTAATATCATATAGTCTTATTCTGTGGAACTACTACCATTCCTCACAACCTGCTTTGTAAAATAGGCAGCGTGAGGCATAGTACTGGCTTTGCTTGATGATATGAAAAGTGCGAGCCCAGAGCACATAATTTTCTAGAATAAAATTTTTGCAAAAGAGGTTTTGTTAAATGTAGTACAGTATCCTATCTTCTTACATGATCTCTTTTTCAGATTGTCATCATAATGAGAGGGCTGCCTGGCAGTGGAAAGACACATGTAGCAAAACTCATCAGGGTATGTAAACAACTGCTCTCTGTGCAGTGCTGCTTGTCTTTTATGTGCATTTCCTCTGCTGTTTTCTTTCTGTTTGTCTGGAATTGCAGCGTGTTGTTATTTCATGTTCCCTGTCTTCATATGGCTTATGAATTCCCTCCACTATTAGCAAGCATGAGGGATACTGCTCTCTTCTTGTTTTGAATACAGAGCAGGGGACTGCTGTTTGACAAAAGTGTTTTGAAGATCCTCTGTAGCAGAGTGGAATTTTTACAGCAAGAGCGTATATTTTTGCTTTCTTCCCAGGATAAGGAAGTAGAGTGTGGAGGACCTGCACCAAGAGTGCTCAGCCTGGATGACTATTTTATCACTGAAGTGGAAAAAGAAGAGAGAGACCCAGATACAGGGAAAAAAGTGAAAAAGAAGGTACTTCTAATTCAGTTGCTTATCTTGACAAAGAAACAAGACATTCTGGAACAACACAGTGGCAATCAGAATTTCAGTCTGTGGCTTTGGAAGAGTTCAGAGGTCTGTGGGCTGTTGTTCAAAACAAGTCAATATAACTTAAGGGCAGAATGGGCAAATTCTTAAAATTTGACTTGGAAGATGTTCTTCTCATACCAGTATACTTTGTGGTCATGACATTCAGCAGTTGAACATTAGCAATTTAATAGGTGTCCTCTTTCTTAAATGCTTTTGTCCTTGATAAAGGTGATGGAGTATGAATATGAAGCTGATATGGAAGAGACCTATCGTACCAGCATGTTTAAAACTTTCAAAAAGACCTTGGATGATGGCTTCTTCCCCTTCATTATTCTTGATGCTATCAATGATAGAGTGCGACATTTTGAACAGTTTTGGAGTGCTGCAAAAACCAAGGGTTTTGAGGTAATGAAGCCTAAAAAGCATTTGAACTTGCTAGCACCCATATGCTGCTATTTCTAAACTTTGGAATGTGAAGTCCCTCCCACATTCAGGAAAAATGCTGTGGTCTACAGTTACAAATTTACTTTTCTTAGAATGTACAACTGCAGAGTGTATCACCAGGTAGTAAAAGAGCTCTAAACATTGATTTACAATATTTATTATTGTCTTTCTCTTTGTAGGTGTACTTAGCTGAAATGAGTGCAGATAACCAGACGTGTTCCAAGAGGAATATTCATGGACGCAAGCTAAAAGAAATCAGCAGGGTAACTGTATACATCTGGAGTCATAGGATTAATGATAGGTTTCATTGTGCTTTCAGGCCTGCTGTTGTTGGAAAACTATTGACTTCTTTTAGACTACATAATGCTTACGCTTTTCCTCTGAGAAGAGCTGGTAGTTATTTCATGGGATTGATCGAAATTACTTAAGTACAGATACATCTTGTTCATGATCAGAAACCCAATTTTCCATTGAATCTGTTATATTTTTAGAGGTTCTTCATTTTTGTATGTTTTTTGTTAGATGTCTGATCACTGGGAGGCAGCACCACGTCACATGATGCGCCTGGACATTCGCTCTCTATTGCAGGATGCTGCTATCGAAGAGGTGAGAATCTCTGTGCTTGATAAAATACAAATTACGTAGATGTGACTATACTGAAAATACAAAGCAGAGAAAGGTGTGATCACAACAGGGCAGTTATACTTTGCACTGTAGAAAGCTAGAATCACCGTGTCAGGCAACTGTATTCCATTATTCTTATCAATTACCCGAACATGAAGGTACATGTTACTTTTTATCACCTTTTTGGAGCCCAGACTTAATGCATCTTTGAGTTGAAGCCATTTTGCTCTTTAGCAACTGTTGAGTAGCAGTTAAAGACGATCTTTGTGCTCTCAGATGAAACGCAGCACTTTTTCAGGTTACTGGATTAATTGGATCATAATTTGAGGAAGTAGTTCAATAAAACAAATAAGTAAATAAACAAATTTGAACACCTCTCGGTCCCTGCTTTGAGGAACACAGACCTGTAGCAGAGAATGAAGAAATAAATAAATGACGTAGCAAAAGATTATACTTGCTGTACAAGTATGCTACCTTTTTATTCCATTGCAATTTGCCATGACATGCATCTTTGGTGTGTCAGCTTTCTGTATTGTTGCATTCTTCTTTGGCAGTTGTTTCAGGAGCTCTGGGAATAAATTAGTATGTTAATCATATGGTCATCATGAATGTACCAGAGCTGCATGTTGCTGTCAGAACAGCTCTTGCCATGGCCATAGAAACTGGTGAACTACTGAAGTAGGAAGAGAGTTTACTCTTTGCAGTTTGTCATGATGTCAACAGGTTATTTTTAAATCTCAAAATTCTTTGTATCAGAAAATAGTAATCTTTAAAGAGGACAGCAAAAGGCTCAGCTCTCAAGTAGACTCGGAGAAGGGCGTATTTGGGGTTTGCTCCGTGTGCATCAAGGTTTTACTACTGGTAATGAAGAACTGTACATACTTGGAGAGTTTTAGGTATGCCACAGTATACACATGAATCTCCATTAGAGATCTGGACCCCAGAAAGTATTCCATTAGATGGGCAGGGTTAGATATATGTCTTAAAGCATCCATTTTCTTTATTATGTTAATCTCTGTGGTTATTATTCTTCATTGTGATATTTAAATATGTAAAAGATAAAGGCTTGATAAACATGTTCTATGCAGAGCGCGCCACTCCAGTGATGTGTAAATGGCGAGTTTAAGATATTTTTCTGAGATTTCACGTTTTGAAATGTGATTGTGTGGGAAGCAAGAGAAGTATCTTATTATTACAGATACTGGTAGCACAAAGAATGCATGTGAAGGAAGAGAATAAACAATTTTTACTTTCCCACAGTTTGTCACTCTCTAGCTAGAGGGGAACCTGCTTCTGAGGGAAGCCAAAATGGAGCCAGTATTCATATGTATTGCATCATCATACTTTCCAAGATGAATCCTTTCTTTCCTCTTCTATTTGAACTTGGAATCTTCTACTTACTCTGCTAAAAAGATAATACTTAAAAGTCAAGCAGTGCCTTGTAAGTCTGTGCTTTTGCTTTGGACCAGGTGGAGATGGAGGATTTTGATGCAAATATTGAAGACCAGAAAGAAGAAGTCAAGAAGGATACAGCAGAGGAGGAAGAAAGTGAACTGGTAGGAGACATATCAGCCATCTCTAACAAAATGTTTGTTAATGTGTCTGAGGGAGAATCTCAGTGTTACAAATGCCAACCCATTGCCATTCTTAGCAGTGCGATCTTAATATACACATTTCTAGTCATTTGTTCCATAAACATTTCTAGGAGAACTTTAATGTTAAATCATATTATTCCTGACTGATTTTTTTTTTAAGAATCTGCGAGTCTATTCCACAAACAGCATTATCAGTGGAGCGTGGCAACATGCCTCTACAGACATTTATAAATTGCAGTACACTATAGCACTGTGTTCCAGATTATCTAAGAATTACACTAAGTGGAGGGATGGGAAGAATGGGCAAAGATTAACTTAGCTTATTTCCTTTCACATGTCTAAAGAACTCTTCTCGACTGTCACAGTATATGACAACAGTTATGAAGAAGAATGCTTTCTCTGCCAAGGCTCGCTGACTTTGTCAGTAGGTATTTCCAAGATGAGGGATTAGGTCTCTTGGATAAATGAAGGTTAGAGTATTGCCCTGAGGGCTGGTGTTTTTAGGTACGTATTTAAAAGGCCACAGAAGGCTTCCTAATGTAACTTCTTGGTATGTGTTGGAGCTGCAGCTGGTCAGCGCTTGATGAATTGAACGTGTCAAACCCTGGTTCCCACAACCAAGCAGTTAAACTCCAATAAACAGGAAGCAACCAAAAAAGTCTGAGATGAGTAAAGTCCTTTTTCTTGATGGAAATTTACTATTCTTCAGGAGTGGCAGTTTAGAAAGCAGTTGAAATACAGAATAAAAAAAAATAAAGCTTAGGAAGAGTGGATTTTAATAAACGTCTGTTTTTCGCAACATGACTCATTTATTCTCTTTACTAAATTATTCTTTGGCACAGAGTATGAGACTGCATAAAGTGTGGTTAGAACATTTCAAAGACGCACCCATGTTTACAAGAATATGGCTGCTAGTCTCACTTCTTGGAAATGAGCTATATCTAGAAGAGAAGGTTGTCTAGCTTTGAGACATCTGTGCATACGTGTGTGTGTGTGTATGTGAGTGTTTATGGGCTCTGAGGAGTGTCCTAAGTGTGCAGCACATACAACAATAGGCCTTTTCTTTATGAGACAAGGAGAAAGCTTGGTGGTGAAAACTATGCAAGTTATTAATAACTAAAAGTAGTATACATATAAGAATGTTTTCTATTCAGATTCACAGGAGATGAAAATTAGCAAAGAATTATCTGCTGTATGTAATCTCTGCTATTCAGTCACATGGCAAATCTCAGGGGGAGGTATGTCAGACAGAAAGGTGGAACAGTACACTGTATTTGGTATCTGTTGCCTTCTTGAGAGCAGTTGGTAAGGGTTCTTCAATTCATTTTGCTTCATTTAATCCTGTGGAAAAAGAGAGGTCTGAAGCTCCTGCTGTCTGGCAGATGTCCTTGAAATGTCCGACTGTCTTGTACTGAAGGATGAAGTCTGAATCTTTTCTTATCCTATCTGAAGACTGGGATATTGTACAGATTCAGCACACAGTAGGCCATTTCACACCATCAAAGTCACTCTTTTGTTGCTATTATCAACTCCCATAGGGTTGTTTGTAGCATTCAGACAATTCTTGCTTTTCTGTGCTTGATGGTATGAATTATTGATGAATTTAACTTAAGTGTTCTCACGAGTGTATTACACATCACTTTGTTCAATACAGGCTTCTAGCTGTGGTGTAAATTTTCTGAGAAAATTTTAATGTGCAGCTTGGTTTAAAAGTATAAATATACATATATACATGAGTTTTATTTATTTGTTACAAGGAAACATTGCAGCACAAACTGTCATAGTTTGTTTGTATTAATTACAGACTTGATTAAAAACAATAAAACACAGAGATCAGATAATCTCAAGTCACTGATATACACTTGATAGAAAAGAGGTCTGTCAAGGATTTTGGAAGAGCAATGCTGAACATAATCAAAACCAGTGTAGCTCTCTGGAATAGTGCACTCTGATTTAGTAACCCTTAGCATTAACAAATACACGTATATGTTTACCACAGTGGAGGCAACCTATAAATAGAGCAGGAAAGAAGCTAGTAGAATAAAACTGGTCTGTGGATTGTTTGTTTTCTTGTTGAAATTGAAATCTTCTAGAGTAGTTCTTTTCCCTCTCTACTAGAAATCATTCTTAAAATAATGAAATTCTCACAGGCGTTCCATTTTACTACATTGAGCTTTTTATGTGATTGCAGAGAAACATAAGTAGTTTTATAACAAATCTGAATAGCTGAAATGAGTTATAAGGGGTTGCTTAGTAAGGATTTACTTGTCCTAGAGTATAAAATGAAAAGATTACAAGAAGATATCTAAAATAAATACCTTTTTGCCAAATTTAATATCATGCTCATTTACAAGGAATAAACTGGCTAAAGATCAATACATGTAAAACACATGATGACAT